ATTTCCTCCTAATTTCGTAGTAAGAAATTATTTCCTCCTAATTTCGTAGTAATATTTTACTACGCCTTTACGAGGAAAGTGTTTACAACGGCCTTACGAGGAAAAGTACTTTTTCCTCGTAATCTCCTCGTAAATGTACTAAGGTCTTACGAGGAAAGTGTTTCCTCGTAAGTTTTCGAGGAACTTACGAGGAAATTTGGTTTCCTCGTAAGCTCCTAGTAAAGGCTTAGTAAATTTACGAGGAAGAATTTTCCTAGTAAAATTTCCTAGTAAATGCTTTGTTTTCTTGTAGTGGCTTGTTTAAACTAGCCTATTGGATAACATTCGGACTTAGAATTTACTTGTCCGAAATTACAGTCCTTCAACAATGTACCAAACACAAACCAAAACCGCAACTGTAATTTCGGACTCTATGCATGCTGGTGTTGGTTTGTGTTTGGTAAATTGTTGAAGGACTCAACTCTTTTTACCGTTATCGTATCATATCTAGTGGCGTCACTAAAATGTTACACATTTGTTAATTTTTCGTTTGCGCGCGTCTATAACTCACGTTTGTGTTGATATATCCAAGTCCAACGTGTGAAAACGTAAGTGGTAGTATTTATATATTTTAAAGTTCATCGTATCATCATTCGTTCCAAGGTGGTAATATTTTCATTGGTTAGTTGTCACACGTCTAACAAGGCTAATTATATGTGGAGGCCGAGTACATAGTTCAAGGATCTCGAAGTTGCTCGTTTACTATAATTTTTTTATTTCAGCGCACTGTTAAGGAGTTTTTAAACTATATCTAGATGATGTTTGATTGTTTAGCACGGTCACGAAACATGCAGGTAACAACAGATGCAATGATCAAAAGTGAACATAGCCACATTGATATTATAACATGCGGCGCCACACTTATGGTGTTGCCACGTAACAAGCATCTTCCTATTAACCCTAACGTGTCGCAACCACATAGGATAACACGTACAAGATTGACAAAGCGCATACTAAACACTTGCAAAGTACAACACCCATACTCCTAATTTAATTAGCTTTTAATCTCAGCACACCACGCGGCTATACACGTATCTTCTATGGTAACACGTGCCTTGTTCTCCAACCGACCAAGGCATACTACAAATGTCTCGTTGATTTGGAGAGACAATACACAGTTTCAACACAGCAACAAACACTTACAGAAAAAGCTTTAACTTTCAATTATTTGCACATTTGAAGAAAATATCAAAATGGCGTCTAACCAACAGAGCTACAAAGCTGGTGAAACAAGAGGCAGGACTCAGGTAATAAGAATATCCATATCTATATATCTAGCTGAATATGAAAATCACATTCTATTTACAAAGTTCTAATTAAAGATGATTTGGTTTTGTAATAACAGGAGAAGACAGGACAAGCTATGGGAGCCATGAGGGACAAGGCTGAGGAAGGCAAGGACAAGACTTCCCAAACGGCCCAAACAGCCCAACAAAAGGCTAATGAGACGGCACAGGCAGCTAAAGACAAGACTTCCCAAACGGCTCAAACAGCCCAACAAAAGGCTAATGAGACGGCACAGGCAGCGAAAGACAAGACTTCCCAAACGGCTCAAACAGCCCAACAAAAGGCTCATGATACGACCCAAGCAGCAAAAGACAAGACATCTCAAGCAGCCCAAACGACGCAGCAAAAGGCTCATGATACGACCCAAGCAGCAAAAGACAAGACATCTCAAGCAGCCCAAACGACGCAGCAAAAGGCTCATGATACGACCCAAGCAGCAAAAGACAAGACATCTCAAGCTGCCCAGACGGCTCAGGAGAAAGCCCGTGAGACGAAGGACAAGACCGGAAGTTACATGTCCGAGACAGGAGAAGCCATAAAGCAGAAGGCTCAAGACGCTGCTCAGTACACAAAGGAGACGGCTGAAGCCGGTAGAGACAAGACCGGTGGGTTCTTGAGCCAGACAGGTGAGAACGTGAAGCAGATGGCAATGGGTGCAGCTGATGCGGTGAAACACACTTTTGGGATGGCTACGGAGGAAGAAGACAAGGAACATTATCCAGGCACAACTACGACCACTACTGGTACTACTCGAACCACTTATCAGAGGAAATGAGAATAGCAAGAGAACTATGAATCGTGTCTTTCTTTTGTTTCTATAATTAATGTCATGTTTGGTCTTTTGAAATTTCACGTGTCTTTGTTGCTTCTATGTTTTGTCTTTGTGTTTGTGATTCCGTCATGTATCCTTTGCTGTGATGATGACCCTGGAGACTTCTAATTTTCAGCCAATAAGTTTATACATATTTGATTCCGCTACATCTTTCGTGTCGTCCAACTTATATTTTTATTTTGAGAAACAGTTATTAGTACCATACCACGGTCCACTTTTATATACTGGTTTTGAAGCATGCATTAGTAATGTAATCAACGTATATGTCTAAACCGAATCAATTTTATTGATCCAAGGAAATACGAAATTAATCTTATATTGTTTTCATTTGTATGAGTTTGCTCATTTCTTATTAATATATCTGCAACATCTCTTATATTTGGTTGGATGGAGTAATGAAAATATGGGTAATCGGATAATAATTCATGATGCGGGGCAAGAGGGGACGTTGCTTTCTCGAGAAAGGGTGATTGCTTTCTTGAATAAATCTTGAATTATGATATATGAAAAGATTTGACATAATTCAAAGATTTGAGAGAATTGATTTGATTACTATTTTACTAAAATTGAATTATTTTTATCACATATCCATTCAGAAGTCCAAAATTAAGTTAAATGTATTGAGATTGGAATAGTGAAAAGATAAATGATCTATTGGAAAGTAATTTGTGATATTATGTGAATGAATCAAAGTACAAAAAATTTTGGATAATAACTGTAAAGCCCTGTTCGTTTCAGAGATGCAGCGATGACTTCCAGAGATCAAAAATCAGTCATCAAATTAGGCAAAAACAAAAGTGACGTAATAATCAAGGGATGCTGCGATCAACTTTTACAAGAATTGTTGGTGGCTATTCTGCCGCTGTGTAAAATAGCGTCAATTAAAATGGTGATGCATCTGTTTCTGAGCGTCAAAAGTACCGCTGCGGTGATAGTCTCCACATACCTGAGCAAGAAGTTAGTTATAGTTTTGATAGTCTCCACATACCTGAACAAGAAGTTAGTTATAGTTTTGATCGTCAATAGTGGATGCTGCGTCTCTGAAACAAACAGAGCTTAAATCAATAAACAATAATTTTGAGAAAAAAAAATTAGTAGACTGACCGTTTGAATGAATCCACAAGTCGAAAGAACGGACGTGGATGCCCATTACGATTGGGCGTTACAATATCTTTAACCTTACTACTAGGATAAGACCTGCGCCTTGCGCATGGTGAATATATGTAATTAAAATATAAAATTTTAATATTCACAAATTTAAAATTTACATATGATTGTTTTTGTATGTATTTGAAATTTTAGAATTTTGGAATTTTTATATAATTATCTATACGTATGATCAAAAACAACTTTAATTAGAAATGTAAATCAAATCTTAGAATTNTATTTGTCTAATAATATTAGAAAATTATATTTTTTAAAAATTATATTTTTTAAAAATAATTTTCTAAAAAATTATGTTAAATTTAAAATTATTTTTAAAAGCAATATTTTAAGTTTTTCGAATACAAATAAACAATTTAAAATTAATTATTGTCATGATTTAACATAGCCATAATGATTTAAAAAATTAAAAAATTAAACGTTAACAAATTAAAAATTAACTCAGTTTTATATCATAATTTAACAATTTAAAAATTAATTATGGTTATGAGAAGTTTACGTTCACGTGTCAATCCTATTTATCTTCCAGTTATGAGAAGTTTACGTAACCTATATATTAGTCAAAATGATGTTAAATCATTTTGACTAATGATTAATTTTCCAGAGTTTCCGTCAAAATGATGTTATAGCCTTCCTTAACAGTTCACGTGTCAATCCTATTTATCTTCCATTTTTCTCTTGCTATGTTTTTTTTTATATTTTGGTTATTACTCGGTATAAATATTTATTTTGAATTTTATTCTCATTTCGTTTGTTTGTTTTGACCTGAAATTTAGAAAATATTTAAGTTTTAAAATAATTAAACAGATAAATACTTAGGTTAAGATCTGCACTTTATGCNAAATTTAACTATTACTCTTGTTTATTCACAATTAGGGTAAATAAATCAAAATAATCAATCTTATATATTGTATATGATATATAATTAAATTTAAATGATATAAACATAGTAATATAGCACACTTTTAATATGGATATTTATTAAATGAGGTTTCTACTCATATGATTTTATGATTATTTGCATATTTGTGTAACAAAATATTACACCAATGATTTATAAATTATGTTATGATTATTTGAATTTAAGTATTTTCCATTTTACATATACACTTCCATAAATTAAAAGGAATGAAGTTATTATAGTTAATATATGTAAATCGTTATCAAATCGTATATTTTCCTTTTCTTCCATTACATGCGTGCGATATATATAAATATATATACTATATTACATGCGTTATATGCGTCTAATTATTTTTCCCTAGCAAATTTCAATTGAACCTAAAGCCGCCACGTCAGTTTAATTGATATGCTAATTGATTGACAACTAAGCAAGGTTACTTTTTAATTAATACAAACTTGAGGTTACATCTTTTCAAATGTTTATCAATTAATATATAGGGGATTTTTATGAAGGTTGTGATCCGTGTGATGAAGACAATATCAAACTAGAACATAAGAATAGAATAAAACAAAACGAAGGGACCGTTTTGTTTCATATAAGAATAGAAGATTTTGTGATTAAATAAACAACATTCAAAGATTTCAACCTTCATAATATAACATTTTCTAATACCTATCATTTTCATTAATGAGATTTACAATTTAGCAAAAAATAAAAACATTTTCTAATAGATGTAACATTGTATTCTTGTTTTATAAATTACAAAACCAGACGATCTATTGCCGTAGATTCGATCATGAATATAATCTTAAACCGGAGAAAACCGGAACCAAAACGAGAAGTCAATAAGACGAAAATCCGGACCACCAAAAACGACGCCGTATAATACCATAGGGTTACGAATTACGACACGTGGTCGTTCTGGTTCCGACACTCGAGCGAGAAGTGGTCGCGACGCATCTTTTAACAGACGGTGTAGCCAATTTTCCAGAGCCCTAAAAAATAAAAATAAAACTAATCTTCTCTGCTCCATCTTTACTTGTTTAAAGTTTCTGGTGAAAAGTCATTAGCTTTCTCGTTCTCAATATTTTATAGATCAAAAGCTCGAAACTTTGTGTTGTGAATTGGAGAAATCCCAGCTTGATTTAGAGATGGCGGCTGCTTTATCCAGCAAATTTCTCAAAGGAATCGCTAGCCTTCAGCCTCTTCGTTCTAGTACCAGATTGGTTAGTTTTTCATATACCTTATGATTTGCTCTCTTATTTGGGTTTCTCTTTTACAATCTCAAATTTACTTAAAGGTTGTTTCTTTTTTCATCTCTTTAAGTAAAATGCCTTTTGGGTTTTAATGAGATTAGTAACCTGATGTCTTGCTGCCTGTTTAGAATGAGATTCAACGCGTTTTGATTATGTGGTTTATGTTTGCAGGCATCTGTGTATCAAAATGGGATGATGAGATCATACTCCACTACAGTGCCCAGCGATTCAGACACACATGATGATTTCAAGCCTACACAGAAAGTCCCTTCTGGTTCTTCTACGGACTCGCTAAAGGATATTGTTGAGAATGTAAACTTTGGAGATCTTTTTTTAGATTTGATGTTTTGTGTTTATTTGGGTAATGCCATCAGGTTTCTTTTTTTTTTTTAATAGGATGTGAAGGAGAATCCTGTTATGATCTACATGAAAGGAGTTCCGGAAGCTCCTCAGTGTGGGTTTAGCTCACTAGCCGTAAGAGTTCTGCAGCAGTATAGTAAGTGTTTTTTGATGTCTACTTTGTAGTATTGTATATGGAAATTGAGTGAGGCTCTGAATCTAACGTGATGTGAGTTGTGTTGGTTCAGGTGTTCCTATCGGTTCTAGAAATATTCTTGAAGATCAAGACTTGAAAAATGCTGTGAAATCCTTCAGGTAAGCGTTCATAGAGAGCTGTATAGTCTCATTTTCAATGTTCTAACAATTACCTTCTTGGCATACTTCTTTGGCTAAAGCATTTCTTCGCTAGTCTATGTATCTAATTCGTGAAACTTTCTTCTGTGCACAGCCATTGGCCTACGTTTCCACAGATCTTTATCAAGGGAGAGTTTATTGGAGGCTCAGACATCATCCTTAACATGCACAAGGTAAACTAGTTTCACCAAGAGCTAGGCTTACCTTTTTTTTTTTTTTGTCTTATTGTATTTCCGTTGTGTTGGCTTATGATCTCAAGTCCTTTTTGTACAATTCCAGGAAGGTGAATTGGAGGAGAAACTCAAAGATGTTAACCAAAAGTCTCACTAAACTTCTAAAGATTTTGATTTAAGGCTGAGTTTAAATGCTGAATGAAATTATTGTGTTTTGTTTTTGATTGACGGCAATAATGTCATAAGAAACTCAAAATCTTTTGAATCTTGGTATGAACAAACCTTTATTTCATTATTTATAACCATGAATCAAAGAGCAAAAAAAAAAAGAACAAAACAGTTGAAACAGCAAGTACCGTATACCCCAAGAAACCCATCCATTATATTCTAACACCATGTATATAGATACTTTTGGAGCTTAAGGCCATCCCTCAAGACCAAGTCTTGAAGCAAGCCACTGAACCACCTCATTCATCTCCTTAGGAACCGTGTAGTGACCAAGCCTAACACAATCACAATAAACCTCAGAATCTCAGACCAAAACAGTTAAGCAAACTAAACTGATAACTTAAGTATACAAGTTATGACTTTGTACCCTTCATATGGTTTGAACACAACATGTCGGAATCCAGCCATAGCAAGTGATTGCGCAGATTTTTCTCCAAATCTGTAAGGAACTACATCATCCGCTGCAACCAAAGAAAAAAATGATCAGATTCTATCTGAAAATAGTAATATCAAACTTTATATTACAGAATGATGTGTGCACCATACAAGTTCCATGAGCAAGTATAACTGGTATTGATGCAGCACGCCTTGTAGCCTCATTAGAACTTTCTATTTTGCTCCTTAAGCTCCTGCATTGTTATGTTCACGTTAGTCTCTGTATTAACTAGTGACATGAAGTGGTTGAATAAAATATAATAAATACCTCCAACCAGGAAGCCAACCACTAAGTCCCACAGTAGCTCGTAGGTTTATAGTATAAGGATGTCCACTTCCATAACGTCCAAGAGCATAGCACGTCGTGGAGTAGAGAGCTATTGCTGCACCCATACTGAAACCTCCTATTCCAACTTTGACTGAAACAAACAACATATTAATTAAGCTAGAGACTGTGATGAATTATGATATCTATATATATATATATATGTCAGACTTGGTTTGCTTACCATCTGTTGGTTCAGTTGATAAGAGGTTAGCAATATGTGCAGCTGAAGCATCTAAGCCTTCTATATCATCATGAAGATCCTCAGAAATTTCTCCTACGTCGAACCCTGAGAAGCAAAGAGTTTGGTTTCTATCGCTTTGAAAGAATACTTTTCTTGAAGTTTAGAGAAGATTAGAAGTTGAATGAGCTTACATGCAGTGCAAGGGAATCCACCAAGAAGTGAAACAGGACGAGAAGGGGCAGTTGGACAGATCCATTTTATCTGTCACCATTCAGTATGAGAGTTCAATAATACAGAAATTATACTTCACAAAGTTTTGTTTTCATGGATATCCTTACGTTTGATAGAGGCAGACTCTCCAAGAGCTGTGACGAGCTGCAGAGAGAACAGGGACAAAGTGAGATTCTGTTTATCAGAGTAACATTTTGTTTTGGTATCTTTTCAAGTCATTTAGGAATTGTTTTGATGAATTGGCTCAAGAAGTGGGTTATGATCACAAGTCAAGTGAGATATCATATAGTATATATACCTTGAGCCATTGTCTCCAAGACCGTGCAACCAAACAATAGTAGCTTGGTGTTTTCCTTTAGGCCTCACAACATAAGTCCTTCCAAACTCATATCCTCTTCCACTTCTACTACCTACAAAGATTTTGCCAGAAACATATTAAAACTAGGGTTATTAGTAGCACACAGTAACAACACACTTCATAACTCAACACTAGACACATTAAAGATAACATAATATAGAGTAAACAAGAAGTAGAAACAAACCAGAACCCATGCTTTGATGAGAATAGCTCATTGTTGTTCAATGGACTCTTATATTTTTCACTACAATTTTGGAGGATAATTTTCAAATATCACAAACACACACAATGATGGAAAATGTAAGAGAAGGTAAGGGATGGGAAATGTGTATTTATAGAGAAACTTTGAGGTAATGTTGAGAGGAGAGGAGAAGAGAAGAATAAAAAGAAAAAGAGATGTAAATCAGAATCATTCACTATGGGATGTTAAATGTGTACACCGGCTACACAAAAACTACTACTAAGAGAAGGCCAGAGAAAGCATACATGCAAAGTTTCTTTGTTTATAGATTTTAAACAAAAGAAATAAATCTTTTTGGGAACAGAAGGAATCAACATCAAAACCAGAGCAGAGGTAGCTGCAAAAAGAGAGAATCAATGCCTTGTAGACAGTGGAGGAAAAATAAACTCTACCGCGTTAAAGAATATTAATTCTATATATTTAACATAAGTATATTACTAGATACATGAGGGTATAATCCAAAACTGAAAAAGAAAGAAGAAAAGGTGAAAGAAAAATCTTCTTGTTCAATCATTTGTTTAATGAAAAAAAAAGAAAGTGAGAAGATTGATGATGGATACCCATTAACCAGAAAGCTGAAACTTTCTCAGATAAAAAGGATTAAAATTAACACAGTGGACAAAGAGATTTCATTTAAGGTTTTTTAGGGTTCTTGGATTTGTAAAATCTGAAAGCACTGAGTGTCATGATGATGCGAAGGAAACATCAGTGACCAACCTGGACTTCATGTGCGGGAAGCAGTAAAATCAAAAAGCCTTTGGTCTTTTTCTCATCTCTTTCAACGGTTCTTTCATAACTCTTAATTTTTTTTTTGGGTGAAATTCATGGCCTCTGTTTTCAATTTCACCCCGTCATTTTTCTTACTATAGATAAATTTTTTATATTGACAACAGTTCAATGATATATTAGATGCATTTGATAACCTAAGCATTTACATATATGGCCATCTCTTCTAATATAGTACGTGTTTTGTATAGGTTTTGTCATTGAGTCTTTTCTAATTTTTTTGTTGTCAACAAGTTTTTTTTCAATATTGGCTTTAGCTCAAAATCTTATATAGATAAAATAGCTTCAAATTATGGAAAATTAATTTTAATAAAAAATTCTTAAAAGATGATTATAACCCTCAAAATTCCATATCTAGTCCTGAACATGCATCACAGATCGCATGCGTATTTGAATATTGGATGGTAACACGTCAACGATAATAACATTACACTGATTTTTGTAAGAGTTTTATCTTTTGTTAAAACTTAAAAAGATATTGTTAAAAGTTTCTGCTACCCATCTCTTTAGTTATGCACTAATGCAGTTGTGTTTTTAGACATTGACATTTGCTATGTTTGTTTAGTACGTTTCGTTAACTTGAATTATTTAGATCCTCATTTGTCTTATCTTTAAGGGGTTGACTCGGTTGCGGTTGTGGAAGGGGTGGACTCGGTTGCGGATGGTTATGGTTTTAAGCTTTAATAGAAGATTTGGATGATTGATTTATCAGTTAAAAAGGGTTACGTTTGTGAAATACTTATACCTGATTAACGACTAAATACATCAATATTTACATAATAAATTAATAAGATTTACATTATATATAATTAGTAAAGTATTAAAATCATATTTTTATAATAAATATAAAATTACATTGATAAAATTATGCTATTCAAAATTCTAAAATATTAAAAAATATTTTTGCTTTGAAATTTAATAATATGAATTAAAATATGATATATATATATATATTGGTCTTTAAAATTTATATTGATAAAATTATACTATAAATATTTAAAATAACATAAAATATTTTTGTTTGAAGTTTTATACTATAAATTAAAATATGATATATATATATATATATTGGTCTTATATTATTTAATTGAAAATTGTATTTTTATATTGATATAGTGATTTGAAAAAAAAAAAAAATTTTTTACTCTTTCGCAACCTTAAAAGTTAATTGAAATCAGTTTTTGAACTTTAGAAGTTTATAATGGTTTGAAGTGGTTGATGGTGTTTTATGTGATTGTTGTAAAAAGTCAACAATCGTTATCAATCTTAAAAATTGCGTTTGCAGGTCGAAATTAGTCAAGTTAGAATGTTTTGTTTTTTTATCGGTGAGAATTTTTAAGGGTTGGAAAATTATTAAAAATACATTTACACGTGTAATTTTATATTGGGTGAGGTTAATTAGTATTTGCATACGTTATATTAATAAAATTAAATCAGAAAAGAAAAACAGCTTTAGTGGGAGTGACCTACATGATGATAAAATCTCAATGGGTCTGACCGTCTAAGACTCTGAGTAATTAACAATGTAGCGGATCATATTTGAAATACTATTTTCTCAAAAAGAAAAATAAATTGAAGTACTGGTTTATGTTGAAATGAACTGCCCACTGCAATTTAACACGAAAACCATGTAGAAAAAACAAAAGATTAGGTTAAACTGAAAAAAAAGAAGAAGAATATGGACATGGTCAGATGGATATTGAATACGTCATATAGCATACGCGCGTCATAATTGACTTTTATCTCATTTTCCATCTCTACCACAAAGATCTCCTTAGATTTCATGGTATGATTACTATGTATCTTTCGGAAAGAAAATACTGACTGTTACCACTTAGCTAATTATTAATTTTTTAAATTGAATAATTTAGTTTATATCTATTATATTAAAAGAGAAGTCATGACTCAATTCATGTGTGATTTTTTAGTTTGGACAATCATTAGAAATTTTATATAAATTTACATAACATCATTATAATATCTTTAATTTTTATTTGAAAATCAAATAAATAATTTTAACAAAATTCTAACAAAATCTTTTAAAAATCTTATAGAATCTTTTCAAGATATAGTTTCAAAAATTATTTGATTAAAAATTTAACTATCACAGAATATAATTAAAATTTAATTCATTTTTTAACAAAAAATAAAAATTATGTAATATACTTTTAACAACATCCCAAAATTTTGTTTATATATCATGTAGGTCCAATTTAATTACTTTTTATATATTTAAAATTTAGAAATAAAACAAAATATATAAATTAGTAAGGTTACATAAAATTTTTTGTAAAAATTGTTACAAAAATACAAATTTATAAATTTTAAATTAATAATATTATAAGCTACATAAATATTATTATAAAATT